GCTGTCTTTGGAATGTCTTCTGGTTTCACAGGAATCTGGTGGTAACCTGATCTGAGATCGATCTTTGAGAAAATAGTCGCACCTCGTAATTAATCAAACAGGTCGTCAATACGGGGTAAAGGATAACGGTTCTTGATTGTCACTTTGTTCAGCTGGCGATAGTCAATGCATAGTCTCATCGATCCATCTTTCTTACGGACAAAAAGGAGAGGTGCTCCCCACGGGGAAACACTAGGACGGATGAAACCCTTAGCTTATCTAACAACTCCTGTAGTTGAGCTTTCAATTCCTTCATTTCTGCAGGGGCCATTCGATAAGGTGATGCTGAGATGGGTCCTGTACCAGGTACAAGATCAATAGAGAATTCCACTTCCCTTGGAGGAGGTAGACCAGGAAGTTCCTCAAGAAATACATCAGGAAACTCACAAACCATAGATATGTCCTTATGATTAGGTGTTTCCTTCCGTATATCCTTAACAGTGCACAAGAATGCTTCGCATTTCCTGCGAATGAGTCGTTTTGCTTGCATATAAGAGATGAATTCTGGGGCTTTTGGGAGAAGTTCTCCCCGAATGATTACTTCGTTACCATCGGCTGTACGAAGTTTCACCACTCGTTCCTTGCACTCGACAATAGCCTGGTGTTTTGCCAACCTGTCCATGCCAAGTATAACGTCAAACTCCTTGTGAGGGAGTTCAATGAGATCAGCTAAGAATACATTTTCTTGAGCCATCAATGGACATTGATTATAGACATGTTGGAGACGAAGACTGTGTCCCAGTGGGTTCGATACAACTACTGGATGCTCGAGAGTTTCCTTAGTGACGTCAGATGTAACAGGAATAGGTACACATATGTATGATAAGGTAGATCCAGGGTCAATTAATGCAGATACAGTGATATCAAATAAAGTGAACATACCCATGATGACATCATTGGCCTGCGGATCTGTACGTCCCTGCATGCATACGTACGAGCTTGTGCTCGTCCCTGCTGTTGTCTAGTTGCTGGCTTCCTTGGTTGGTTGGACGCGGCCGTAGAACGATGACTCTAGGTAGGCACGGCCCGCCGAATAGTAGAAACACCCAGCGTGCTTGGTGCTGTGGAGAAAACCTTGCCTGGGTTGTCGGGCAGTCGTCCCGAAAGTGACCTGCCCAACCACACCCGAGGCAAAGACCCTGTGTAAGCCAACACTCACCTGCATGTCTGCGGTTACAGTGTGGACATACTGGATTACGGTATGTCATCTTCTCCTGCCCGCTCTTACTAGTGACGGCCACAGATGTAGAGGGAGTAGATTTCGCTCGCTTATCATGGCGAGAGTTGCTCGGTGCGGAGAAGGTCCTCTTGCTACCATGTCCCATTTTCGGGCCAGATTGGACGGTGTGACTTTCTTCCAGAAGTGCCTCCTCATACGCAGCTTTCCTGATGAGTTCCTCGTTCAGCTCAAGAGCTTTCTTATAGACATCGTTGATATCGGCTCGGGGAGCAATTATAAGTGTTGACGACAGGTCTGGTCTCATACCCTTGATGAACTTCTTGCAGCGTTTCTCCATGGTGTTGACCAAGTCTTTACCAAACTCGGCCAGTCCGTCAAATTGCTGACGGTACTCGAGGAGAGTCAGCTTCCCCTGAGTGAAATTGGAGAATTCCTCATATTTGGCATCTACATAGTGATCGGGCACATACTCTGCTATGAAGAGTGGCTCGAAGGTAGTCCATGGTACTGGCACGGGAATGGTTGCACCCACTCGTTTCCACCAATCATAGGCGGCATCCTGCAACAGAGATATGGCGTGCTGTCCCCAATCCTCGACGGGTACCTTCAAGTTCTCCAATACCCTCACCGTGCGTTCTTGCCAACGCTTGGCTATTTGAGGGTCCGCTATCTGGTCTCCGCAGAATTCATGTGCCCCATTCCTCTTGAGTTTTTCAATCGAGACAATGGGTGCAGGAGGAGGAGGTGGTGGTGGTACGTGCGCTCCAGCCATCTGCTGGAAGAACTGGAACATGTTCGCAACCATTTGTGGTTGGAACATCGGAATGGCTAAATTCGGGTTCTGACCCGTGAACTGCTCCGGAACGGGCTGAGGTTTTGGCTAAGGCTGCGGCTGCTGGGGTACGTAACTGGATGCTTCAGTGTGCACCGTATGCACACTAACATGTTCAGGCTCCGCGTGAGGGTTTGCCTGACCGTGAGTCGAGTCCTGACTCATTCTATAATTAATTTAAAATATAATTAGTCATAAGTAAATTAATTGTTTTACCTTCCCGGGAAGAGATGTGGAGAGATGCGGACTTGTGTTTGAAACTCTTTTGATTTGATTTCCAAAAATCATTTTTTTTGATCGAATGCTCTGATACCAAAATGTAACACCCCAACTCGAATAACCCAATTACTTAGATTATTTGAGCCGGAGTAGTTACCATGATGGTAAATACGCATGATAATTTGAAGGATAATTTTAAACCAATTTAAACTTTAACATAAATGATAATTTCAAATATTAAATTCAGAGTATTGCTGAATTAGTGCGGAAGCTTAAATATAAAACACAATCAAATTGTTTTACATTTTCTGGGTACTCGCCTGAAAAGGTATTTATTTAATTAAAACATCATAAATGTGGTCCACCAGTCCATACATCTCTTCACTCTCATTGACCTCCGGGATGGGCTCCATGACCAGTATCGTTACCTGCGTGTAGCAAGTAAAACAAACTACACGCTCAGCGTCAGCTGAGGAATACGCTAATACAATAATTCCAAATTGAATAGGAAGTAGACATATAATTATTCATGATGTGACATAATATAGCATATATGTTCAAGATGATAGTGATACGTAATGGATGTCATGCATAGTCATAATGATTGCACTTGCTTGATGATGAATTCATGCGGTATGATTCTAGGTCACAAGGACAAGCCTTGAACTATGAGATTCGCCCATTTTGCACGACGAACTCACGCAGAAATAGGGGTGGTACTCGAAAACCTAAGTACCATGTACGTACACTAAGCCCGGTCCGTGATGTCGGACTGCTAAGTCCCGCACAATCACAACTACAAGAGACGCACTTCCGCCTGATCTCTTGCGCATGCACATGATGTGATATGTTTCGATATGGATGATGAAATGAATCACATGATATGAACAATTTGTAAACAACATGATTGGATAAATATACTTTATTTTATTTGGATGAAATATGATAAAAATATCATTTAATTAAACTACGGGGCTCCGAATGGTCGACCGTTTGGCGGGACGGTCGACCTTGAACTTCATCGCGTCGGGTTGGAGAATTACCGTGACGGTCGACCGCGGTTGACCGGCGGTCGACCGTTGTTGACTGGAGGTGGATGGCAGTACTTGGCTGGGCAGGCGACGGTCGACCGTTGGCCACCGGCGGTCGACCGTTTGTCTGACAGTCTTGCTCCGTTTCGATTTTTAATGCAACGGTTGACCGTTTACGTCGACCGTTCGGGTCTGCGAATCCTATTTTTGATATTTTTGGATATCTAAAATACTTCTTTGAGTTATTTTAACACTTATGATTAACATATCTATGTATTTGAAGTATTCTTAACATTTATATTTTCATTTAAGGTGAAGTATCAAGAAAAACATATTTTTACTTTATGAGTCTAATGAGTTTGATCTTAAAGCACAAATGACTTATAATATGGCAATCAATCCTAACGATATATCTAGATTGATATTCAACCAAGGATTGCTTTACTAAGGTGCAATGTACTCGCCTTGATATCGTAGAGGTCGGAAAAATAGAAAGATAATAATACGCCTCAACGAACGTTCAACGTACGGTCGCCCCTATCAACTTCGAGCTTCTGACGTTCAATCTTCTTGGAAATAATCTCCGGAAGTTCCTAATAACCACGAGAGAATTGAAGGTAAGTATTTGGAAAGAAACAATATGAAAACGATGAAGAAACATGGCCAACCCGAGGAGCTCTCCACCACTGGAGCAGTCCCGGTATTTTGGCCATATCTCCTTCGTTACTTAACGAAATCGCGAGCCGTTTGTTGGGTTGGATTCGTAACATCCGGGGTTACGATTTTGGTATAATAAACATTTTGAGAAAATGAACGGAAAATTTCAGAATTGACTCACAAGTAGACTGATTGTTTTGTGCTCAGGATTTTGCATTGGAAACCTTGATGCTTCTTCTTGTTTCTTCTTCTTCTTCTTGGCTCAACAATGGAGATGAATGAAGTGGATTCTTCCCCCTTCCTGAACTGCCGACAGAGAGAGAGTGAGAAAGGAGAGTGGATATTCGTGAAGTGAAATGAGAATTTGCAAAGTGGAAGGAAATTTTTGGAGTATTATATTGGAGATTGGAATGTGGATGTAGTGGGTTTCCTAGCATGTTCCTAGGGTGGCCTAATTGGAGACTTTGGAGATTTGGGTTACGTGATTGGGAGATTTGGGGAATAAAAATATATTCTCCTACTCCGTAACTGATAAACTGGCTAAAACGATACGCGCTTTTTCGCCCAAACTATTTCAAATTTCAAAATGGATCGCATTTTTGGAATCAGACTGTCAAAACTAAAATTTTGATATAATCAAATTATTTTTCTGAAAACTTTTATTTTTCAGTGTTCGGGTCTGTCTCAGTCATTAATTAATATTTAAATTAATTAATTCTTTTAGGCCTAATTTCGGGACATTAGAGAGTTGGTATTAACAGGCTGCGCTAGATGAACTCACTGTCAGATGTGGATATCGAGATTGAGCTCAAGGAATTGTTAAAATTCCTAGAAGAGCAAATTAATGAGATGATTCTTGAATTTCTACGGTGTTACTTTAAGAAAAGGCTCTAAACTTGCTTTAAGAAACAGATTTGTATAAACAAATAATACTTACCTTAAGAATGAACTAAAACAGGATATACTTTTGTGAGAAGTAAACAGATCATAGTAAAAAAAGCATTAGAAAATGTTTAAGAAGATATGCATAATTTATGTATCCCTGTTTCAAAATCATACATTTTAATAGGGAAACCTAGGTTAAAAAAGGTTACTAGGAAACTAAGCTAATAGAATAGCATTGACTAAATGACTAAGGTAGGTAAAAAAATGTTACTGGGAAACTAAGCTAATAGTCGCTTAGGGAAACCTCTAATGGTTTAAAAGGTTCAGAGGAATATCATAATTTATTTTTATGTGTTCGTATATGATTTGCTTGATTGTTTTTTGTTACTATTGAAACACGGGCTTGTCACGTTTTCGTACTAAAGCCATGTTTGTTTTTATGACAGGTTTTGATAATGCCAAACCGCCGTGATCAAGTAGAACATTGAACATACAAGGCGAAGAACGAAGATGAGAACAAGATCTAAAAGAAGACCAAGAACGAAGACCATAGTCTTAGTGTCGTTGAGTCGATCTTTATTGTGATCAAGACCGACACAATCTTTACACCTTGGCTCTTTAGGCTAAATTCTTTTTATTGCATCTATTACATCATAAAAATGTTTTTCAAACATGTTTAAATCATTAAAAACACTTGGTGTTCGCCCAAACCAAATACCAAGCCATCCGGCGTTTGGCTTTCAGAAACCGGCGTTCGGCATACGGTTATCGGTGTTGGTTTTTGGCGTCCGAACCAACCAAGTGGTTTTCAACATTTTATGATTGGTTTTCACTCTTTGGCATGTTTAAACAGTTCTCCAAAAAAACACCTTGAAAACCACCTTTCGTTTTTGGTCGTTTGGCAAAAACCACGCAAAACAGCGTAAACTTGGCTAGCCGTGGTTTTTACTCAAATGACGTGTTTTTTAAAATCTCTCACTTTATTTCTTATCCAAACACATTAAATAAGTGTTTTAAACACTTGTTTTTTACTTTGGAGAACTTTGGATTTTTCGGTCGGTTTTTGCATCGGTTGGCTAGGCCGTGGTTAAGGCAAAAACCATGGGTTTTTGGCTAACCACCCACCCAGCAATGGGAAGAACTTCCCATTGATGGGTAGGCAGTCCTTCAGCCTAACCAAGTTCCAGAACCATGCCAAACAGCGATGGGAAGTTCTACCCATCGCTGTTAAAGCCTTGGTCCAACATCAACACAAGGCAGAACGACCTTACCCAGCGATGGGGAGCTTATCCCATCGATGGGAACCCAGCGATGGTAAGGCTAAACCATCGATGGGAAGGCATGACCATTGGAAGTCATCTAAGGTTGATTCTTTCCTTGTTTGGAAGTCAACCTCCCACCCAGCGATGGGAAGCTTGTAACCATCGATGGGTAGGTGACCGTTGGCTTCAAAACTGAAGGAAAAATGGCTTACTAGCGATGGTTGAGTCTAAACATCGATGGGAAGTCAATATCCTGCAGATCCCAAAATTTATTCAACCCCATAAATCAAGCCAATCACCCCTTTAATGTATTTGTCCGTTGGAGCCTATTTTGGCACTATAAAAAGGGGTGTTTGGGTCTGCTTTTATCATCAATTCACTTCACAATATTCATATTATCATTGCATTCAAATCAAATTATTTTCCATAGCTTTCTAGAGCCAATTTGTGTGAAGTTTGAGTTGTTCTTGAGCATATATATTTTACTTATATCCACTCTTAAGGAGAGTCTTGTTCTTGAGTGTCTTAGTGTTGTATACACGTTAAGGGAAGCTTGTTTCCCTTGGTTGTACGAAGGAAAGGTATTTTCCTTCGGGTTGAAGTTTTGGAGTGCGGTATCTCCGAGCAAGTGTTGTTGAGGCTCATGGGACTCGAGTTCTCAGGTTGTAACGGTTTGTTAAGCGCCCGTAAGCTTAACGGAAGTAGTATAGCTCGAGAGAAACTCTCGGGAGACTGGATTAGCCACACGTTGTGGTGAACCAGTAAAAATCTTGGTGTGCTCCCTTTACGCTTTCTACGTTCTTTACTTGTCACGTTCTTAATTTTTTATTCGTGCGATTTCTACAATCAAACTCTATTCACCCCCCCTCTAGCGTTGGTCACTTATTCTAACAGTTACAGTGTGGTCAGTTTTTCCATTAAAGAGATCAATAAACCAAGAAATGCAGTGCCTTGACCAATAGATTATGTAATGATATTCATATAATTTCCTAAAAGAATGTTTTTAACCATATAGGTGATGGCTTAATTTCGGCATGATGTACATGCTATGAGTTATATTTTAGAAAAATATGTTTTTAACCAAGATGTTTAATGCCTGTAAAGGCATAATTTATTGCCAGAATCAACAGCAAAGTGCTTGGATGCTACTAAGCAACCATACAGGCTATGAGTTTTTTTTGCACACAATGACTGTAGAAGAATAGATGGGCTGGATGGTGGTAAGGGGCTTTTTCACCAATGACTTTAACGAAACGCTCTAAACTTGCTTTAAGTAACAGATTTGTATAATCAAATAATACTTACCTTAACAATGATTTCTGTGAAGAAGAATTATTCCGTGAAGAAATAGTACTTACCTTGAAACTGAACCAGGAATTAGAGCTAATGAAAGTGAACTTGAAATTTTTAAAAAGTACATTATTCACTACAAACAATGAAAAGAAACTGGGTGATCAGAAATAATTATCACAATCAGGGGAGAAAACCATTCTATACCAATGAGTAAATTTTTTTCAAAAAATATCATAAATAATTCACAAACCACAGACAAAACAGGATACGTACCTTTCATTGAACTAAAACAAATAATACTTACCTTAGCCATGAACTAAAACAGGACAAACCGATATGCAATGTAAAAACAAAGTGAAGATTTAATAACTGTAGTTCTATTCTGGCAATATAAGTTTATGGAAATCTTAATATTTTTAGCTAATGGACAAATAGTGCTAGGTTATTGAAGATGACTAATGGTTTAAAATATAGTGTAACACCCTAGAAACCGGTCTAGTAGTTTACCAATAATTAAATAAATATAATTATTTATTTACGACGATCTATTATTTTAAAGAATTAAAAGATATTTTAGAGATTCTAATCGTCTCAATATAACGAGATTAATCCGATTATATTTGTAAAGATTCAAATTAAAGGACTAATTGGTACTAATTAACCGAAAGAATTAAGACGGATCACGTGGAACGTATAAATGTTTGTCATTTGAATATAAAAGTTATGTGGTTGGGTAGGGATCGACGAATCGAATCCAACAACGCGAACAGATCCCAATTTGGAGCAAGTTGGCCCGAAAAGTGTGCTTTACCTAGACATGTTATTTTATATTAAGCAATACAAAACCCTAGGCTTATTTTCACGCGTCATTCCAACGCCGCCCGCTATCTTCTTCTTCGATCGAGCCAACACCGCCAACAACCTTCAGCGATCGCGACAAGGATCATCAATTTTCTATCCAGTGAAGTGCAGCGAGGAAGAAGACCTCCCTGTTCTCCGGCAACCTTCGACGGCGATGAATTCCACCGGCGACCCTCGCGGTCCAGCGACCTCTGTTCTGGCGAAGGCCAGCAGCGACGAACCACCAGGGTTTGGCAACCTCCATGGTTTCCAGCGACCCCTCTTTGTGCTCAGGCAACGGAGTTCGGGCAGCGGGTAGTCCTTGTCGGCAACAATTGAACCAGCAAGAGGATTGACCATGATGTTTTCCAGCGAGTTGACTCAGTCAACGGCGACAGCGTTTCCAGCTCTGTCCAACAGGGGTTTCGGGCAGTAGCGGGCAGCAGGTTGGAGTGCTCCGATGTTGGCATCCGAGCGACGTTCTCTAGAACTGAATCATATCGAAACGAATCGAGGTGAGTACGTGGACATCTAACACTAGAATATGCATCTAAGTTTGAAATTCCGTTCATAATTGTTATCGTGGTTGATCTGTGTGATTTATCTGTATAATTGTTGGTTGTGGTTTTGGGAATTGTTGTCGTTAAACCAAAAAGGGTAGTATGCATGATTTAGGCGTTGATTGATGAATTAATGTGCTTGATAATGTTTAGAATGTTAATATGAACCTATTAGTGTTGTTATGAGATATCTGTTGGTTTGATGCTGAAAACGAAACAGGTATGAATATGAATTTGTTGGTCAGACGGTAGGCGGTACCGCCAGGACGGTACCGTGCTACCGTCACACTTTGTTGGGTTCTTCTGCCTCTGCCGGTAGTTGCAGCCGTACGATACCTAGGTACCGGACGGACGGTAGGCCCTACCGCCTTGTCGGTAGTTGGCTACCGTAGCAGTCCTACCGAAAGAGTTCATTGATTCGGACGGTACCCCTGGTACCGTAAGACTGGTACCCAGGTACCGTGAGGACGGTACCACGTACCGTGACAGGTATCGTTTGGTACCTGGTGCCGGGTCTGTCGATCTGTGTTTTCGTCAAGGATTGATTCCGAGACTTCATGTGTTGCATGACGGTAAACATGGGTGTGTACTCCCAGTGTTGGGCCGCTATTTGATTATGTTGGATATCTTGTTAAATGAATTGTGGATTCATGGATGTTGTATTATGTATTGATTAATGAATATTGGATATATCACCTAGAAGAACTCTAGGAAATGAGTGGCAAGGTATGCCATAAGTATAGTAGCTAGAGCCAAGTGATACCTGCTGGGTCCAATGGCTGTTCGGGTAAAAAACGTGTACACGGGGATCTAAGAACTGTCGTTCCGAAGGGGACAGGGATCTCACCCACCCAACGAGGAACTCCCTAGTTGGTTTGAGCTTGACCTTCGTTCCGAAGGGGAAGGTCATGACTCCATAATAAAGTCGAATTCAGTTAAGCTTTAACCTAGTATAGGTTAAGAGCCAAGTACGATAAGGAAAGTAAAGTGAATTAAAAAGGAAAGTTCCTAATACATATACCGATGTTGTTGTATCTTATGAACTGTTATGATGTTGATTATGCATGTTATATCTTGTATGCCGTATGATTGTTGCCAAGCATGTTGTGTGCATGATATCATGTGATAATTATGAATTAGTGGATTCGCCTATGTGTATGTTCGAACTGTTAGATATTTCTCACTTAGCTTCAATGCTGAGCGTGTAGCCCTTTTTCCTATTTGCTACACGTAGGTGGTTGTGGTAGATTGACTCTGGAATCCATCCCGGAGAGCAGCATGACGGAGGAGATGTACGGATGCAGGGATTTAATGTTTGGTTTAAATATAAGGCTTCCGCACTGTTTGTATAAACTCTGATATGTATTTAAATTATGTTAAGTTGTTTGAGGTTTAAATTAAATGTTTTAATTTATTGGAAAATATTGTATGTGGATACCAATTTAGTAGCAACCCGGTTCGCTAATCTATTTATTCGGGTTATGCAGGTTGGGGTGTTACATTTTGGTATCAGAGCATATGGTTTTAAAATCGGTCTTCAGACCATTGCAAAGTACTATTTTGGAAAATAGTTAAGTGAAAGTAGTATTATTTTGATAATAATAATAATAACGGCAAAAAAAAGAAATTGTCCTAAGTACTGCATCTGCATCCTCCACGTCAGCTTCGCCTCCCAGGAAGGTAATAAATTATCTCATAATTGCTTAAATGTTTGTATGGAGCTGATTGCTCAAGTTGTTTGAACTGAACTGATTGTTCGAATAGTTGTGCTGAGCTGATTGCTCAAATACTTGTAAGAAGCAGGTTGCTTGACTGTCTGTGTGAAGTTAAGTTGACTGCTGGAATATCTGTGTTGAGCTGCGAATTGTTGATTATTGTGCATATTGAAATGCTACAGTCTAAGGTAGGAGTTCACAACCTGTAGATGGAACCTACTACTATAAGGTGAATGTTAGTATAAACTCTGACTATGAGAGGCTAAGTCGCAAAAGAAAAGAGTGTAACATAGTACACATATTAAAATATCTTGTCTAGTATTCGATTATCTCATTTGGTCACCAGAATAGATAACCAAATTCTGAAGGGCTGCAGACCTGGATGAATGAGGGTATCTTATTTTGGTATCAAACGGGAATGATCGTATAAAGGACAAGGAGAACTTGTTTGATTATTAAAAGAAATAATACCTACCACCAACACATCATAGTGTAGTGTTGTGGCTGGATACAAACCAAAAGAACGTAATGAATAATCTATCTAGCAAGATGTGAGGTACTAACGTGCCCTGATCGACAAGATGAGACGAATGAAACGGACTCGAAAGAAGTTACAACATCGACATGTAGAGTTGGGATTATCCGTTAGTAGACGCACCGTTGAAGGGCTTCTGATCCATTACAAAGTCTAATTAGCAGGTACTAGAGACGCCGATAGTGATAGTGGTGACGTTAATAGAACGCCCCACTTAATCTCGTTAGTATGACTCAAATAATAATTGAGGAATCACTTTAATGAACCAGGAAGGAATCAGTTAATCTCGACTATGCCGTTGAAGACTTTTAGGTTACGACTTGTGAAGGCTGAACCTACTCCTAGATCAATGAATGCACTTAATGTCGAGTACGTTACTATTAATGTCGTGTTACAAAGTTGAATGCCACCTGAAATTTGGGATGAATCGCTGAATGCGCGCCAAGAATGTGAAGTTACGAAATCACTACATACCGCTTGAAAGGAGCAAAACACGATAACCTTGAACACCGAACTACATTTACTACACCAACCACGCACGACCCATTGAGGGTACGAAGCTGAAGCAAACACGAACACAATGAATGTGTGCGACACAACAGCACGTAAACACTCCATCCGAAGAACTGAATTTGCACCCCGACGTGACTTGAACGCAGCGAATTGTTGAGAAGAATATTGTTATTAATACCACGCAAATTACTCGAGCTAAGTAGGGCGTACGACACGCTCCTAGGGACATGACGGCTAAGGTACGCCGTACGCCTGACGAGACAATATATCGATAATCACTGATGCTGTAGAACTAACAAACATGACATGAAAGAATACGAATGACGACAACTGCAAGACGATGATGGATGCTGACAACATAGTATCGATGAGTATGACGCACGAATCGTTAGACGACATGTATGAAATCTGATTAGACAATTGACGTCAAGCAAGCCACCTAATCGAATATACCGAGCAAACGCGAGAGATGGATAACAGGCCAAGGAACGACTGTTGCTACTACTTCTGACGAAGTACCCTTGACATGCAAACCAAACTTGTTGTTGATAGATCAATCAAGATAAGCGTGTTCCGCAAGAAACGAGCCGACAACTAACTTTTTGATGTTCGACACCTCCTCAAGTTAAACATGAACATATGTAGTTTGTATAATGAAGGATTCCCAAAAGACACGCGCGAGAAATGTGTTGAAGTTTAACGATCCTTAGGAAGTAATTTTTGAAACACCTTGTCGAACGTGTGTGATTGTACGAAAGTTGGGTTTGAATATCGTGACAAACCAACAACTAATGTTCCTGAACCGTTAAATTTTATCTGTAATCTACACCTGCATGTTGATTATACTGGTTGTTCTTTACTTTGACCCATTGACGGTGATCAAAGTTCTACTTGTGAATGAAGATAGTATCTCCGTAACGAATTGACAAAACCTTTTACCAAAACCAAGCGATGACGTTCCTGTGAAGATAGCAATGCCTTGTGTGGCAAGAAGTTGATGTAATAATGTTGACTTTGACTTTTAAACTCGTACTTGGTGAAACATCAAACTTAAACGTAATAATGAATTTTTTTTGAAGAAAATGCATTTATGAAATCATCGTGATCCTACGAAACCAGGCTGAACGTCTATGCAACTCCTGAGGAAAACTCGCTGCAGACCTCAACGATTAAGATTCTTATTCTATCAATAACGAAGACACGTATACGTATGGACGAGAAGAAGGATTCTATCTCGTCACCTGAAGCATCCAAATCACCCTGAACGCATCGTGCAAAGAATCGTTGAAAGGAAAGTTGTTTTGAAGGTCGTTACGAGTAAACTACTGAAGTTTCTATTAAACGAATTGCTAAAACGAAAATCTGTAAGTCCTAAGTACCTCGACTTTATCGAAGATCGTGAACATAACCGCGTGTTAAAGAATCTCCCATCTGTTCAGAAGAAGAGCCGTGGATAAAGAGATGATTGAATTAATTCTTAATAGGAACATATCTTGTAGTAGACTCAAACAAACTAGCACGTTAATTAATGACGTGAAAATATTGTAAACATGAATGATAATCGTACTGTAATCCGCTTTTAGTAGGCATTAGAAGTTGACTCCTCTCGAGAACAATGCAAGTATGAAGCGACAACACAGTGAAACTAATTGTGAAGGTATGCTACATTAATTGTGACGTAATAACGTGATAGAGAGAAGAACAACTCAAGATAGACTTACGTAACGACTTCTAACGCTCGACGAGCCTAACAGTGAAACGAACATTCCTATGCTCAATTGTCGACCACACAAAAGGCGTGAACGTTACCAGAACCCCTCTAGTCGATGAGAAATCTTGAGAAAATTTTATGCTGACGTCGTAAGCTAACGAAACAACAAACCTCGAATACGAACTGAACAATCGATCAAATAACCTACACTGCGATATCTGAAAGCTTAACCATTGTCGGAATGCTCTATAGAGGTACTCCATACATGTCCGTTGGAATCAAACTCAAGAAATATTGAATTATGAACTCGACGAACTTGTCATATGTCCTGAACGAAACACAAATACAAAACTCCTACGATAATACCTCAAACGATAAACGAGGAGAGTTCCATGGGAATGGCGTGGCCATTCACCTAACCATAATTGCAAAGCAAACGTGAACCAATTCATTGAACTTCCTAACCTTGAAGAATTTCGGGGACGAAATTCCTTTAAGGGGGAAGAAATGTAACGCCCTAGAAACCGGTCTAGTAGTTTACCAATAA